GATCAAACCTCCTTTATGTCTCCTCTACTCAATATCTCACCCAGAACAGTCCAGAAAACTACCTGGCTGGCTGCAGATGGAAATGTAAGTCTTGGGATGAAGTTTCAAGCTCCGGCCTGGGGGAGGTCTTAGCTGTGGCTTGCCTCAGGAAAGCTAAAATGATGGCTCCCTCCCAATAACCCCCACTGCTCTCCAAATACCCGTCATCGAACTTCCCATCGGCCAGACCCGCTGACGCGAGACTCCGTCCCACCTCTTGCTTGGACTGGTATTTCTTCAACTCGGCCGTGCCGTCTCCGATCACGAAGGCCTCCTGGTGGCCGATCAGGCGGTTCTCGGTTTGGGTGAGGAGATCACATATCCCCTGGAGCTTCTCCTTGTACTCCTGCTGGCGTTCTGCCACCATCTGAAATGGGTGAAACCAAAGCATCGGAAATGTGGCCACCGACTCAACTTCACGCGAACACATCCTGCAAGCTTCCCCTACACGAGCCTCCCTACGTATGCTGTAAACATGATAGCAGTGGGGTGCAGAGCACGCAGGCGACGCGGAAAGTGAGCGTGTGTCTCAGACACGAGGAGGGTGACCGTGTTTGGACGACACTGCTCAACAGAATACCGGCCATGCATAGGTGTCAGAGATGGAGCTTCTGACCGACAGACAGGAAGAGACGTTCCATTTTCTCAAGCTCTGGAAACCTGCGACACACACAATTAATTCTGCAAAAGGATATCAAAACAGAAGTTAGTCGTGATTTGTCTGTTAACCTATTCGATACGTGTAGATAGGTTATCATGCTGGAGACAGAGCCTGTGCTTCTGAAAGTTAAAATAAAATAAAACAGAACAAAACAGGAGCACTGCATGCGAGATCACTATGTAATCACTCTGACTAATTCCATCCCCACCTCTTTGCTCAGCAGTGCCATTAGTCATGGCACTGTAATAAAATTCGTTCAGTCTTTCTAAGAGATTAATTTAGTGATGACCTGCATCTTTCATTTTCCTATTATATATACACTCTTTACGCATTCTCTAGTCACATGTGACGTTTACCAGGAGCTGGGCAAGGTCTCGAGGGTTCTGAATTCTTGCTTTTATCAATGCCCCCAGCACCACGGGGTAAGCACTGTTGCTCCTTCCAAGTGCCCAAAGAGAAAACTGGTTAAGGGACTTGCCCTGGGTCACACAGCGAGGGAGTGGTGAAACTGGGGCGTAACTCAGGCAGCCTGGCCCAGGGCCTAGCCCTAAACCTGCTATGACATCCCACCTCCCAGAGGTAAAAGATATCCTTAAACTTCTCCATCCGTACGTTCATCAATTTATCCCTGGAAGTTTCTCACTGCCTCCAGACTTCCTCCTCCTAGGAAAAAAATCCAAACTCTCCCCTGAAAACAGTAGTTTTAGGGAGTCATGAAAATTAAAATGGACAAATTAAAGCATTACTGTGGGAAATAATACTTGCATACGTGGCAGCATCTCTACCTTATACCCTGTCCATCAATCTCCGTGCCAGAAAACCTTTCCTGTCTTCTCCTACCCGTGAGCCTTGGTGTCTACACCACAGGTTTCACACCGAAGAACTAAAAACAGAGCATTCCAACTCCACAAAGAAAGGCAGACCTTCTGGTCATCGAGAGCTTGTTCGAGCTGTAACTGAGTCTCTAAATGTTCCACCTGGGTAGTTACTGATTCCCGGACGTCAAGAAAGCACTTCTGAGTTGTGTTTAAGAGCCTGAGCAGTTGTTTGCTTTGGGTGGGAGACAGGTCTTGTGCGTGTTCAGAGATGAAAAACTGCACATCAAAGGCAGTGGTCTCCAGCTGCGTTTTGCTGTGTCCAAGGTCTTTCAACACATTCTGCAAACAAAACAGTACGCGTCACCAACGGGGAGCTAAGCCATAATAGAAAGTTTATATTAACTGTAACATTTCTTATAAAGTATGCTTCTTTTATCAGGAACTCAAGCTTCTGCCAACATTTTCTCCATGATTCAATCAACCTATTCATTAGTAATAACTGATAGTGATGAAATTACTTAAATACCGAGACAACTAATATTCTATAAAAATAATCTCTTTCTGAATATTTTAACACTGTCTGGCAGACAGTTCCTTAAAATGTAACTCCGACAAAAGGGAAAGATCTCACTTGTGTACATTTAGCACACTGAAGGGAAATCGCAACATTAAAATACTATTTGCTGACGTTTACAGTATCTGTGTAACTGTGGTGGCACATAAACTAGACTATGGGGAATTGGCAACATAAATTTAACAGGGCAGAATTTTTGACTCGCAGGCCAGGTGTGTAACTGACCTCCACTCATGAATGTGCTGTTCAAATTAAGAACTTGGGAGGGAAGAAAAAAGCATGACAAAAGTGACCACTACTATGATGTGTCTATGTGGCTGACTTGAATTACTATGTCTTTATGCGACTGATACACAAATAAGTACATAAATACAAATCTCAACATTCAGTGGTAGTATGAGTTGCATTAAGGCAGCAGGGACAGCGTCATAAAGCTGTGATGATTTCACGCTGTGTCGCTATGAACAAATATCTCTTAGAAAGAAAGGAAAAGCTGGAAGCCTTTCTGCTAAAATCTGGAACAAGACAAGAATGCCCACTCTCACCACTTCCATTCAACACAGTATTGGAAGTCCTAGCCAAAGCAATCAGACAAGAAAAAAAAAAACAATAAAACAGGATCCAAATTGGAAGAGAAGAGGTAAAATGGCCACTATATGCAGATGACATGATACTATATGGAAATATGAATACGAATTTATGTTTGTATGTGCATGACTGGGACATGGTGCTGTACACCAGAAACTGACACACTGTAATTGACTATACTTCAATAAAAAATAAATAAATAAAATAAGATACTATACAGAGAGAAAGAAAGGAAATCATCCTTTATAGCTTTAGCAAAGTCACAAACATCTTTTCTAAACGTGAACAACATTTCTAAACATGTTATATTAAATCCACAGGCTTTTTTTTTTTAACTTACTTGTCTTACTTATTTTGACACTTGCCTTGAGAAACTCCAAACTTTTCTTTATATGTTCAGTGTCCCGAATGCTCACGGTCTCAATACCCTCTACAGACCGGCTCTTCTCTGATATCCAGCTGGAGAATGACTTCAGTTTGTGGAGAAACTCCCCGTGAGAAACTGCTAGTTTAGACTAGAAAATAAAACTGCATGTTCATTTCGGTCTGTCCCCAAACTTCGAATTCCTACAAAACCTGATTATGTCTTAAGGGCTTAACAATTTAAAAATAAAATGCTTCATCCTGTGGCTAAATTTCCAACTTATCGATTTTCTTTCCAAACCCAAGTTGTGACCCCACGGGAGACCTACCGTTTCAGAGTCGATGGCGAGCATGATGTGGTTCATTCTTTCTGAGGACGTGGCCCTGAGGGAGGAGAAGGCTGTCTCTAAACTCTGGAGGCTCATACTCATTTCCTTCAGAGGTCCCCTGGGGAAGTCACCAGGCAGAGACTTTAAAAAGTCCTCTGCCAACTTCATGTCTTTTCTTAAAATCACAGCCATTGGAGCCAACCCCAATTCAAAGGTCTGCAAAACACACATATCCCAGGATCCATTCAGTGAGCAACACTAAACGTAGCCAACATTCCAAACATAAAAGTGCTCTGCTTAATTTTCCAAATTAACACCAGCCCACTACCCTCCATAACTGGCAGCAGACAATTCTTACCTCTAACTGTTTCAGTTGGTTCTTCAAAGCTTCCAGGCTGCTGTCCGGAGACTCCTGGTTGTCCAAGGGGGGCTTCATATCTTGAAGCAAAGCCAAATACTGGGACATTTTTGACGTGTGCTGTAGACACTGCTGCAGCTCGCTGGCAAACTAAACACAAATTCAGACACTCTAATTCAACAGCCTTTACGTGGAGTTTGAAAGCAAAGAAGACGGATGGGGTTATTCCCAAATATTCCATGCAGCTATTTCATTATAAAAGGTAAAGTCAACTTACTTGTTCCATCGAACTGTCTCCAGAAGCCATTTCTTTTGACCCTGAAACACATTCCAGATGGTCTGGAGATTCAGGGCACGGATCCCCCAGCCTCTTATCTCCCGGCTGTGCTGGTGCACCAACGGGAGGGTTTCCTGGCCCACTTCCTCTCACATTTTGTAAATGAAGGGGGCACTGGTTTCCTCCCTTGCTTGGAAGACCATCAGGTATGTGTGGCTTCTCATCCACCATCTCGGAACCAGTGGGTGATTTTTGATTCACGTCTCCAAACTGTTCTACTCTCTCTGAATATCCATCCACAAGCAGCGTGGAGAAAATACTTTCAAGGTGCGGTGGCAGCCCTGTAGATGTAACACCTCTTTCCTCTGGTTCGCACTCCATCTGAGTCAATTCTTTCATCAGTTCAAACGCTCCTGGCGTTTTCTGGCCACACTGATTTTGCTTAAGCACGCCAAGCAGCAGCTCCGACTTCAGATCTGCGGTCCAGCTGGGATCATCTCTGCTCCCTGTTTTTAGTTCTGGCGAGTTATTCATGGGGGACACGACAGAACAGTCCCTGGTTTCAGAGTCGCCAGGAACATCAGATGCTTCGTTTATCAACTGTGCTCTGCTAACCCTTTTCATTAAGTTATTTATTAAAATTTTAGTATCTGCATGGGCTGAAGGGTCTCCAGCCTCTTGAGGATTCCCATGACCATCTCTCAGTCGATCTTGTAAGATATCCTTCATGTCCTCAACAAACACTGGAGACAGCTCAGGACTCGGAACCTCGTTTTCCTGGGGTCCTAGAGACGAGGCTCGTTCCGTTCTTGGTTGCTGGGCAATTATTTCTTCCTCACTGTTAATTTCTAAAGATGAGCAGCCGGTGCTTAAGGTGTCCCTGGAGTTGCTATTTATTATTCCATTTGCGCCAAGTCCTGACGGCACGGAATCAGCATGCTTCCTGAAGCCTTCCACACTTCCGAGAGGTAAGACTGAAGGCGTGCTTTCATCAATTTCTGGTGTGAACTCGGGAATTCCTGTTCCTCCTTCTGAGACGTTTTCTTTAGTACAAAGATCCTTCCATTGGACCATCTCATTCAGGGGAGAGGCTTCTTGGGCGAGAGCTGCCTTCTCTTTGGCATCCTTAACTCCTAACTGTAAGTGATCCTTTGTGGGAGGGGAAGCTATTGGAAAACAGCCTGGGGCATCTTCATTTGGTTTCCATCCAGCTTCTGCTTTTACATTTCGAGCACAGTGTTTTAAAAAAGCAAACAGATCCAGCTCTTCCTCAGGTCCATCAGTGAATGAATCTTTCTCAATACTTGGAGACCCTTCAGACACCGTGACGTCTGGAGCAATCTCATCGCTGATCCCATGGGAAGCTGCTGACTCAAATATTTCTTCAAGATTCTCAAACTGAACAGGACTTTGACTGACTACTGTTGGCAGATTCTTTGGTTCATCTTCAAGGGCCACTGTCGCTTTTTTGAGGCTTCCTTTCTGATGTTCGCTCTCTGTGAGCTGCGGGTATAGAAACTGACTGCTGACTAAATCAAGGCTCTCTCTTGTGCTTTCCCTGGGCAAAGGTTGGAGATATTTATCATCTTCTACAGGACCTTCTAAAAGCACTTCTCCTTTATCCGTGCCCATTTTACGAATCGAGGCTTCCTCTTCCATCAGGGTACCGGTCTTGTCATCGCTCTCTCTAATCGGATCTCCTCCATTTTCGTGATGACCTCTGCCAGTTACAGAGACTGTGGGTGACAAATGGCCTTCCTCAGCATGGTTTCCTAGGAAACCGGGCTCAGGACAAACGATTTCATCAGAAGATGGGTCAGTCACAAGTGGCACCTTCTCAAAATCTGGACTGCTGCCTTTTACAGACTCCGCAGAGCCTGGCGCTCGAGTCAACTTAACCCCCGTGTTCTTCCGATCACCATCCAGCCCCGAAGCTAAACGTCGGACACCGACGGGGCCAGAGGTGTTTTCCGACTCAGCAGCCTTCACAACAGGCAGCAGTGTATCCTTAAGGACCATCTCATGATTCCACAGATTTTCTTTGCTTTTCCAAACAGCCTCCGTCGTATATTCTGGGACGCTGCTTCTCTCTGTAACTGAGCTACTCTGACGACTCGATTCGAGCCATAAAACATTTACACTTGGCTGTTTTTCTAAAGAACTCTGATTGTGCTTTTTATCCGGGAGAATCATTTCACTGCGACGTTGACTTCCGTGACCGTCTTCCTCCTCGAGTGCCGCGATGACACGCGCCTGGACATCCGTGTGGTCAGCCTGGTCCTGGCACGCGGGCTGTCTATCCTCACCTCCCGCTCCTTCGTCTTCAGTGTCACCACCATCATCGTCATAATCGTCACTGTTTTCCAGATCATTACTGTCACACAGAGGGTCCCCGTAACCTTCTTCACTCTGCACAGATTCTAAATGATCGGTATCAGATCCAAATTCTTGTCCAGTTACACTCTCCTCTTCTCTCCAGCAGCCAGCGTCCTCAGGTTTTAGTGCCGCTTGGAATCTCCCTTCTCTTCCTACAACGCTGTGGTCGGTCCACGAGTCCAACTCCGCACCCTCCAGGCTATCTGTGCTGTCCCTTTCTGAGATGGTTTCCATCGCTGGTCCATTCATCTCGGACAGGCCAACTGAATGGAAGTGTCTTCTTTCACCAGAATCTGGTTCTGCTTTCTTGGCACCTATGAGAAAATCCTGCAGGGATCCTAGTGCCCCCTGGGCCCCCATGGAATGTTCACTCCCTTTAGAGACATCGTAAAAAACCTCTCCAGGAGGGGCCGGCCCATCGTCTTCCTCTCCCAGGATGTCACAGTCCTCGGGCTGCAGACCATCCCTGTCATCGCCCTCAAGAAGCAGAGAATCATGGTCATCGTCCTCAAACAAAGGAGTGTCATAGAAGTCATCCTCGCTGTCACTGTCTGTCTCTGTGTCGCTCTGCCGACTGACCAGCAGGGATGTTTCGTAGTCGCCAGCACTGGTGCTGGCCAATTCTCCCAACACCGATGGACCTGTGAGAGCCAGGCTGACGTGATCACCGCCACCCCCCGGGGTCATGGCACAGGGGTCCTCCTCCACCGCGGACTCAGGCCACTTGTCCTGGGAAGCAGCGAGAACTTTTTCACCTTTACCGTAAGTATCCGAACCATACTGATCATCCTGATGCTGCCCTGAGGATGACTGGAAGCAAGATTTAAAGATTTCTGTACAGCATGTTCCCCCTGTAAACTGATGTTAATTGCTGCAATGCCCAGAAACTCGTCTTGAAATTTGTCTCCCATTCCTGGATCCAGTAATGTGGTTTGGTCCTTGAACGGCAGTGAAGAGACTTCACACTTATTTCCACTGCTCCCTGTGGCGTGTATATCGTGTAAACTTCTCTGCTCGGTCCTCAGTTTATCGTGACTTAACAGGGCACTTAGGCGGGGGGAGTAGTCAAAGATGGCTGGACCCCTGCTAATGTTATCTTCAGTCTCTGTTTCATTCAAATCACAGATCCTACTAGTTTTTGCCTCCACCGTAGGGCTTGTTATCAAATCACCTGCAAAGTTTTGAACGTTTCTAGAATGACCACATTCATATGCATGCTCCTGTGTTTCCATGGGACTTTGATTTTCACCATTTTTAAGTATATTTTCAGAGCCTGGTCTCAGGACACGAACTCCAGCCAGTCGGGGCTGTGTGGGGGCTGATCCTGATCTGGGAACACACACGCTGGAGGAGTTCTGAACTTTAGGATCGGCTGCTATCACACCTGCCGGATTTTCTGACTGGCCAAATTCACTCCTGATAGCGTTGCTTCCCATTTCATGAAATTCTTCATCTATGACATGTTTTCTGTTTTCAGGGATTTCTTGATGCTGGGGTTCTCTGCGAGGACATTTCTCCAAACTACTTGGTGAAGCTGTACCTTCATCCATTTCTTGACCTGAAGCATTATTCAGAAACACACCAGGGTGTCTTAAGACATCAGGACGTTCTTTTCCGGGCATGTCCTCATCAAATTCTGCAGCACAGCCTTCCAGGAGCATCCCGACTGCTTCGTCCAGGTCTCCATCGTACAGCAAGAGCCTCTGCCCGGTGTTGGCGTCCATGTAACTGTTGATCATCAAATAAGACAGGAATAATTTTTTAGTCTGTTCTGAGCTCTGAGTCTCCACTGGCTCCTCTTCCTCAAAGACATCCTCCTCCTGCCTGTAGTCCTGGACCATGGATGGCTGGAATTTACAAAAAGAGAGCCACCGTCTAGCGTTTCTGCAAGCTTCCATGTCTCCCAAGTCTGGCATCTGATCAGGCAATATTATACTTTTCAAAATCGCTGCTGTGCCGTGATCTATAATTCCCAGTTCCGTAGCAACATCCAAATCGAGGACTTGAGAAGTTTCGGGAATATACAGAGCAGCTATCTTCTGCCTGCCGTCCAGGATCTTGTACGCCAGTTCGTTGGTAATCAGCTCCTGCTGCAAGGAAGATGACGTGGGGAAGATTTCTCCAGAGTGAGGCCAGATGAGGCCCACGTAGCCTCGCTGAGCCTCCAGGACCAGGAGAGCGCTGCTGGGCGTTATTAAATCACACTGGACCGCCTCGTCCACCGTCAAACGCTTGGCGGGGCTGGAGCGGATAATCCCACCGGTTTCGACCTGGTAGGTGAGGATGCTGTTGGCCATGTCCCTGTCCATCAGCCCCTCCGCCACTGCCTCTTCCACTGTCAGCCGCTGGCCAGACGTGCTGCCGATCAGACCCCCCGAGAGCAGCTGCGCGCCCAGTAACCTAAACACGGTCTCGCGGTCGATGAGGCCTTCGTGAGCCGCCCTTAAAATGCTCACGCTTCTTCCACCTTTTAACGTGACCCTGCCTCCTTCTTGCGGCCTCACGGGCAGCAGCCGCACCCCGGTGTTTTCCTGCAAAATACTCCTTTGCATCATGGCTCCCAGAGACAGCTTCTCAGCGGTCGAGGGGTCGATGAGATCTTGCCTTGTGTTCTGCCTCTCCAGGACTTTGGAAAACAACGCCGAGGAAACCAAGCGCTGCTGGAAAGCCTTCTGCAGGGTCAGCTGTTCTCCCGTGGCTGGGCTGACCAGGCAGCCCGTGGACAGGAGCATGTCGAGAACTCTGACAGCCGTGGGCTCTGATATCACGCCTTCAGCCAGAGCCTCGAGCACCGGCAGCGTGGAGGACGATGGCACAGCGGAAATGATCTCCTTGGTCTCATTCAGCTCCCGGAGGCGGCTCAGAATTTGCTCATCAATAAGGCCGTGACTTTCAGCATCTTCGAGGCCAAAGCACTTCCTTGATTCTGGTGAGATGAGACCAGAAATCATCAGCTGCGTCTCCAGCAACTGGATTCCTGTGTCATAATCAAGGAGGCCTCTTAAAACTGCCTGGAAGACGGAGAGGACCTCTCCCGTGGTCTGGTCAACGGTGCCCGCGATCACTTTCTCCAGCTGCAAGGAAAACATGAAACTCTCAGTCGGTGACACGAGGGTGGACGGAGCGTCGTGAAACTTCATTTTTTTTTTTAATAAATAACACACATCAACAGAAAATCCTCTACTTACCGGGGCGCAGGCAGTGCTGTGAGTGTTAGGCAGCTCAAATGCACAAGTGATCTATGTCAGTGATCTATTCAACAGCACAGGATGTGATAAAAGCTTTGAAAACGACATGCATCTGTGAATTGAAAACTTAACATCGTGTACATTAACAAGGTTAGTGAGCACACAACGGAGGAGATGGTGAGGGTGAGGGAACAGGACGCACACCTAGAAGGCAAACCATGCTTTCTGCAACTGGATGAGATTAGTCTACCGACGTGAAAGAGAGTTTCAAACCCCATGCTATCGATGTTTACAGCATACCAACTTCTGCACGGATAACTCAAAACTAACGAACCCGAAATATTGGTACATACCCCCAAAATGCGACACATAGTGCGTAAAATATTCCAGGGAGTAGGGAATCGAATATAAAGATAACTTTTTGAATATGGGCTATTGCATTGAATATTGTGACTATGCAATGTCAAGTTTTAAAAGTTTAAGGATAGGCCACATTTTCAGTGATTTCTGTTACAGTTTAGGAAACTGCTGGAGCATCCTTCACTGTCCAGTATGGTCCAGAATGACAAATAAATCTCCTGGTTATCTCTGAAAGTCAGACACATCCCTGACCCTCCAACGTCACCTCTCAAGCTCTCAGACTATTTCATACATCATATTTATACAGTAAAATACCTACAACAGCAGTAGAAGGATGGCTTTTAAAGAGAAGTTAGAAAAATGAATGATTCTTTCTTTTTACCATGCAAGGCAGAGATTAAGATGTCACAGAAACTGATGAGAGCAAGTGTAAGACTGCATTTAACCAACAACACTGAAATCTCCAGATACTTCCTCCCCTCCCCCACCTGCGTTTTTCCCACAAACCCCATTCAAGGTCATTTCTTGGTCACTGACATGTTATTTCTACAATCATGCGATTAAACTAAGAATCTTGAAACAGCTTCACGTTCTAAACAAATAACATTACCTTCTCCTCTACCTTTATGTCTTGTAAGGTTTGTGATTGCTGTAGTTGTTTGAGAGATTCACTAAATACATTAGAACTTTCTTGGAGAGTTTTCACTTGTTTTTCCAGTTCATTTCTTTCTTCATCTGTCATTCTAAAATAATCAGAAAGTATGAAAACAGGAATGCAAGTCTGCAAGTGATAAAAGAAGACATACTGGGCTCAATGATTTTGGTAAAGAATACTTTTCTAAATAAGCACATGGTCATAAAATAAAATCTAGTGTAACCTCACACACAGATGGCTCAGGACACAGAGTGCACACGAAATTGCTGTGTATGAAAACTAAGCCTGGCCCGTACGGCCCTGAAAACATCCTGCCTGAAAAAGGGACTGAAGGAAAGAGTGTGAACTAGTGTCCCAGCGCCTCTCTGGCATATCCAAAGTTCTAAAATGATAATTGACGTTGTCTGACAGGGGAAGGAACTACTGTCAGTCCCAACGTGGAAACGGGACGGTAAGGGACCACGACTCAAGACGGATCTTGTTAAAGCAGCAGGAGGAACAGAAAGGAAATGTGTGAGGAAATTAACCCGACTTGCTAAGATGTGCTGCAAAATCATTCTAGAGTAAGTCTCAAGACGACAGCCAAAAAAGGATTTCAGAAAAGGGTAGATCCCTTGCCTGCCTGTGGCAGTAGCTGAAATATATGAAATGCCTTGTTGCAAAAAGTAGGACCAAACCAGGAGACATCAAGTTGCCAAAGGTCTCAGCTAAGGACGCGTAGAACATGTCTACATATATTTTCCAAAAGCTAAGTCCCAGAGGAACTTGGCTTGGTGTGTTTACAACTCACTAACCACTGATCCTTAACTCTCTGAGTTAAGCAATCTCTTACCAGCAATCTCTGTTTTCTTATCAGCACTAGATGCGGATAAGAAGTACATTTACAGGGTTTTGGTAAAGACGAGGGGTAACTAAAAGTGACATTAACTAAATTGCTAAATTTATCACCTTAGGTTATTACATTTCGAAGTAAATGTGTGACCAAGTTCCATTTTCAAACTGCCAGTTGAAATTTACCACCTTCTACCTTGCTGAGCGTTTGTAAGACCAGTTCCCTCCTTCGACTAAAAGAGCTAAGGAAAACCAACGTACTTGTCTCCGTGTTTAGCCAGAAATAGCTGCATGGTTTGAAGGGTTTCAGATAATTGTTCCTTCTTGATCGAGATTTCCTCACTGGAAATCTGCAAGGTAAAGACAACACACTCAAACTCTTCCTTCGTAAAGACCTGACAACGGAAATCTTCAAAAATTAATCCAGGGGGAGGAACTATCTCAGTGGTAGAGCGCGTGCTTAGCAGGCACAAGGTCCTGGGTTCAATCCCCAGTCCCTCCATTAAATTAAATTAAATTAAATTAAATTAAATTAAATTAAATTAAATTAAAGAAACAGATAAACAAATCTAATTCCAGGTTTGCATCAAGACCCACATAATGGGTCTATTTTCAAGCCAGTAATGCATCCGTTACTAGTCTGCAGGGCTGGATAAGGAGGACGCTTTATGCAGAATGGATGATTGAGGAAGCTCCTCCCTCTGACCCTAATGCCATCATTTCCACGAGGAAATAATAATACATTATATCTTGCATCTGTCCCAGCCCAGCCACCAGTAAAGACTGTCACAGTCTTCCTAAAGACGTGTGAATAAAAAAAACGGCATCTTCCTCCCCTCCCCTGCCAAGCTCCTGGATGCAATGCTCCTTCTGAAAAAATTACAGTAGACATTATGTATTCATGTCTAGATCTGCAGATCAAGACTAAAATAATTTCTATTACCAAGACGTTCACTTGCCAAAGTC